AACTGTGACTAGTAATAATCAGATACATAGAGATTAAAGACACATGTGCAAGCATCTAAGCATTAGTAGCATTAAAAATGTAGGAAACCACATATTTTAAAATGAAATGGAGATCTGTTTTAAAGGTTAAAAACTCATTCAATTTTATCTCTTACAGGGTTTATACTCAGCTCAATATTGTATAACTGCATTAATTCAACAGTAAACCTAAAAATTTTATAGCCACTTTTGAAAGAGATGTATCTTTGCTCTGGAAACTGTTATTGAGTATGTTAAAGCTGCAATGAAATTCTTCTTCTAAAGAATAATATATATATATAATAAGTAAAAGAAAAGAAAAAAATACTTATTTAGTATTTAAAGATACTAAAATATTCACAGTGGTTTTCTCTGGGTTATAAGATTAGAACTGATTTCCACCTTCACCTCTGAGTTTATTTTTATTTTATAAATCTTTTATGTTTACAACATGCTTCTTTTTAAATTAGAAGTCAATTTAAGATGAAATGTTAATCAGTTCTCAGATTGAAGCACTACAGACTTTTCCATGGCAGCCTACAGTGCAAACGCTGGTGTGAGCTCAGGGTACCATGGCGGAAGAGGCAGGAGTGAAGTATGGGGTTATGTAACAGGGAAGCTTGCAGGAGCAAAAGCAATTGATGAGATATGCACACACCGCACCAGGGATAGATCTCAAAACAGTCTAGTGACAAAGGAGAAAGCTGACTGTAAAGTACGACATCTATCTCTCTAACAATATTTTCCAAAGCAATATACACTTCACAAGAACGGATATACATAAGAAGACATATATAATATTGGAATGGTGTCAGTCAGAGAGTACACGGGGATGGGGTCTGAGGGGTAAGAAAATAAATACTTTCTTGTGTAAACTAAGAATGACAATGCTGTGTAAATAGAGGAATGTGACAAATTCAATTCTCCCACTAGAAAACAGAAGACTGCAAAACAAAAATCCCCACATGGTTATCTTCTTCTGTGCTGCTGAGACTCTGGGTCAGTAAGAGAGGGTACAGGCAGAGGGAAGGAAAGGGGATACCAACTGCCTCCTTCTTTGTTTCTGAGGAGGATTGGTGGCTGAGGGTCTGCTGAGGGGAAGTGCAGCAACACCCTTCAGCCTCACTGATTCCAACAGGGCTGCCACACACCTGTCTATACGAGGCTTCACCATCGTGTCCTGTTGGTGATCATGGTTTCTTGTGTCAGAGGTGGTTAGGTTTTACAGATGAAGAGACATCTCATCATAGAGCATTTAAAAAGGTCAGTCTTGCTTGTCAGTAAATACAGGAACTTCACCCATTTTTCAGTAGGCTGGTGGCTGAAGAGCCAGAATGCTCTGGCTCCATGTTGGCTAGCTTCTTTAGACAAGCCCAGACAAGCTCAGGCATATTGTACATGTAAAAGCCTTATAAGGTATGAACAAAAACTTCTGATTCTAAAAGATATTAGTCAGCACATTCCAAAGCCCTGAAGACAGCCCCTACCAATCAAGACTTTCCCCATATACAGGATATGGGGACATCCAATTATTTTAAAAAATGCTTGGCACACATGGGTTTCTGTGGAGTGCCCCAATAAAAGCTCCTGCCTGCTATTGTTTGGGGCCAGACTCCATCTTTGGCTCGTGAAGTCTGTGCCCGACTAGACGCCATTTGGTTGTCCTTTTTTTAACTTTAAATTGTTAAACAACTTTTTGCATAATCTTTTTGGGTATCTGTGGGAATTATTCTTGATTCTTGAACCCTAACAGTGGCCACCTAAACCATAACCCTCAGGCATCAAGTACAGGCCAGTCCACAGACACCAG